CTAACGAAAAAGATCGAAGACGAGACGTGCCAAGCAGTCACCTTGAAGAACGGGAAGCAATTGGAGGAAGCCCCACGAAAAGAGAAGAGAAACACGGTAATCGAGAAGCCAAAAGTAAATGAGGAAAAAGAATCAACTCATGAAGAGCGACCATCAACGGTGCCTTCACAAGCCCCTCCAATTCCTTATCCTCAAAAGTTTATAATGAAGAAGCTCGATGCCGAATATCAAAGATTTTTGGACAAGTTGAAGGAAATTCACATAAATATTCCTTTCATTGAAGTACTTCAAAAGATGCCAAAGTGGGTGAAGTTCCTCAAGGACCTCGTGAAGAAAAGTAAGAAATTGCAAGGGAACGAGATGATCCAACTCACGGAGCAAATTAGTGCAATTCTTACTCGGCCTCTTCCACAAAAACTCGGCGATCCAGCTAAGTTTACTATTCCTTGTACTATAGGAGGTAAAAATTTTAGATCGCTCATTGATTTAGGCGCTAGCATTAATCTTATGCCGTACTCTACTTTTAAAAATCTTGGGTTAGGAGAAATTGAACCGACGGCTATAACTCTTCAATTAGCTGATAGATCTTTAGTTTACCCAAAAGGTATTTTAGAGAATGTGCTAGTGAAAGTCAATAAATTTATCTTCCCTGTCGATTTCGTGATACTAGATATAGATGAGGATAGGGAGATACCTCTTATCGTAGGGAGGCCGTTTTTAGCCACGTCGAAGACGCTAATTGATTGTGCTAGTGGTGATCTTACAATGACTGTGCATGACCAAACAATCAAATTCAATGTTTTTAGTACTAATAAAAATCCATGTGATAATAATGATTGTTTTGCTATTGAGCTTATGGATTTTACAAATAATGAAAAGTTTGATGTTTTGATCTTGGACAATGGGAAAGAATCTTTGAGTGCAGGAGATGATGGCGGAAACGGGAATCGGACGGAGCAAGTCTATTTCATGGACTCACTTTTAAATCCTCCGAGAGAAAGTCATGCGAGTCGAGGTCATAACGACGATGAGAATGCAAGGAAGATGTTGGCACCCAAAGGCTCGAGCAAGTCACGAGAGAAGGATGAGTCAAGTTATTGTGGTCGTAAGGAGAAAATCAAAAAGGAATTGCACAAAGGACAATTGGTGTTATTGTGCAAATCCCGTCTTTGGTTATTTCCAAGGAAGCGCAAATCAAAGTGGTCGCGGCCGTTTATTGTCCAAGAAATTCTTCCTCACGAGGTGGACAAAATAAAGGAGCGCGATTCAAATCATACGTTCAACGTGAAGCGGAGCCGGCTCAAATCGTATTGGGAAGCGAGTGAAGAATGCCAAGTGACTTCGGTCACTTTTGCTTGAAAATAAAGAAGCAACGTGCGGCTGAAGACTTTAAACTTAGCGCTTCTCGGGAGGCAACCCGAGCTTTCGTTTTTATTTTTTTATGTTATTTTAAATTTTTAGTTTTGTTTTTATTTTATTTTTCTAAAAAAAAAAAAAAAAAAGTTTCAGGGGCACTAATAAGAAGTTTTTATTTTTCAGGGACCTAATTGAAATTATTCACACGGCCGTGCAAGAAAAAGGCAGGAATCTCACACGGCCGTGTGAGATTTCGGTGATGCTACTGCCCAAAATCGCAAAAGGGCACGGCCGTGCGGATTTTACACCTAAATCTCGCACGGCCGTGCGAAATTTGAAGAGGCTACTGCCCAATTTTGAGAAAGGGCACGGCCGTGCGGATTTTTCACCTAAATTTCGCACGGCCGTGCGGGGAAAAAAAAAAAAAAACAATTTCCATAATTTAACATCCAACCCCTCTTTCTCTCCCACTTCGAACCCTAACCCCCTCTTTTCAAAATTTTCGATTTTCTTGGACCAATTTCACCGAAAATTCACCAACTACACACACATACTACTTAATCTTGGTGGATTCTTGTTGATTTGTGCAGGGAGGATTCAAGAAAGGCATTCTCAAATTATGAGGAAACGAGGACGTGACGGGTAGGGCACCTCACACGGCGAAAGCACTTCTAAAGGCAAAGGGAAGGGCAAGAAAACCGACGCTTAAACAGGTGTTTTCTATCCTTAAACTTTGGGCGAATCACATTGAGGGCAATGTGAATTTTAAGTTTGGGGGTGGTTAACTACTTGTGTTCTTTTATGTGCGCTTTATTTGTGTTTTAATTTTTTGTTTTAATTTTCATGCAGTAGGTTTTATTTGTTTTATTGCTTTTCTCGTTTTTCCGGAATATAAAAAAAAAAAAAAAAAAATTGCTTGAGTCAAATGCATCTATGATTTATGATGATGAGAGATGATCAATGTTTGATGATGAAATTGCTTGTTTTATGTGATAAGGATTTGATGTTTGTTTAGCTTTCGATTCAACGGGACTTAGAAGTGAATTATTGTTAGGAATCACATTTTGTGCAGTGCTTTTGTTGAATGTTTTGTATTTTAAATTTGGAATTAATTTGTGCTAGATCATGCTATGTTCGGTTTTAAGACTCACCTTAGGAAATTTATGATACGAAGTATTGAGTAGTAAGTGATTTGGGATATGATTTGGGCCTTCTTTGAACCGTTTGAGCCTTTCAAGCCGACCTTTTTATCGAAATTATCCTTAGAACCTGATTTGAAGCTCGGAGAAAAGGTGTTCTTTCTTTTAGCCAATATGTAAGGTAGAATAGGTGGAGATTCTTGAAAATTATCCCGTGGAGTTCGGTCGAAAAATTTATAAGGTCCTTCTTCTTCTTCGAAGAAAAAAAAAAGAAAAAAAAAAGAGATAAATATATATGCTTCTATATATATATATATTTCTTCTAAAAAAAAAAAAAAAGAGAGAAAAAAGAAGAAGAAGAGACTAGAAGGGAGAAATAAGGACTAGTTGTTGAAATATTTTTGAAAACTCGATCCATTGCCTCAAAAGCAAAAGTGGAGACTGTTGAACTTTTGAAAATCGAGTTTATTAAAGTCCGTAGAGGTGAATTCATTGTTTCAAACGCCTATCTTTCAAATTTTGGCGTAATCACCTAAATTCAAGAAGAATAGCCACACATACCCATATTTTCTACCTCGAACCAAAGAGCCTAACAATTGAAAGCCACAAAGCCCCAATGATCCCAATAGCTTAATATTCGATATTAGTAGAGTAGAATAATTTGGTGAGTATTTGGAGTCAAGCATATGCATGTAAGTATAAATTTTTTCTATCTTTAATTTGCAAATATTGGATGCTTGAAGCAATTGTATGAATTGTGGTTTTTGGTAATGGTGAGTGACTAAGTGTTGTTGAATTTTGAGCTTGCGAATGCCTAAGAATTGTCATTATAATTACAAGTTCTGAAAACGTGAAGTTGGTTATTGATCTATGTGATGAGATGTTATCGTTGAGTTATTTGCTTATTGGTAAATTTTGCTTGAGGACAAGCAAAAGTTCAAGTTTGGGGGTGTGTTAAGTGTATATTTTTACACTTTATCGTATCTTCTTATTTGAGCTTTTGGCGTGTTTTAACGATAATTGGTGCTTAAAAAGTTGATTTATTGTATTTCAGGTATAAATTGAAGAATTGGAAAAGTATGGGGTCAAAACTGCAATTTTGGAGAAAATATGGGCCAAAAGTGAAAAAACCAAAATCTGGAGATTTAAAGCTCGGACGGCCGTCCGAGTTTTAGTTCAAATTATGGGACGGCCGTCCGAGACCCCGAAACAGCGCAGTAAAGGGATTTTAATTGCACAAGGAAACTGCCTTCTTCCCCAAGTTCTTCACCCTATATAAGACCAAGCCAAGCACACAATTTATGATCTATCTTTTTACGCAAAATCAAAAGCAAAGAAGATCAACGAAGATTCAAGCATAGTTTTTCTTATTTAATTTATTTATTTTATTTTATTTATCATAAGAATTACGAGTAGCTAAGTCTTTATTTCTAGGATTTTATTTGGAACCCTATGTGGGATTTATGAACCCTTTTCTATGATTTTATGCAAGCTTTAATTCCAGATTATTTCTTCTACTTGTATTATTAAGTGCATGAACTTGATCAACTTATGTGCTTTTATGTTATTGTTAATCGCATGAATCGGAAGATCGGGTTAATAATTAGAACTGTGGTAGAAGAGCCTTTGTGGTATTAACATAGGAATATAGTTAATCTCTTAGGTAGCCATTATTGAGATTTGTGCTTAATGCTGTGTTCTAGAATTAATTGCATAGGAATATAGTAATTGAATCTAGAGTATTAGAATCGTAATACACGCGGAAGCGGGTTATGATTATTTTAGCATCTCAGGTTAATAATCCGGGTTAATTGCTTGCATAATTGAAGGAATTGGGGGAGTAATAATCACATAGGGGGAAGAATAAAATCCTAGGCTCGTTTACTCTGATAAATCTTCGTTTTAATTGCTTTCTTGTTTTTGTCTTTTTAATTGATTTAGTTTAATTTAGTTTATTAATCATCTTTCGACTGTGTAGGGTGGGCTTGATAATAATTGGTAGAATTTAGCGTCTAGGATTAGATAATTAAATATTCCCTGTGGGTTCGATATCCAGACTTTTAGTCCACTATATTACTTGTACGATACGTGCACTTGCGTGTAGGTTTTCGGCCAACAGAAAGTGCGAAAATGGGAAATTTGTAGGGGTGAAGTGCATTTTGTCCTACAAAATATACTTTGAAGGATTAAAATGCCCGTGCACAAAGGCAAAACTCACAAGTTAGACCAGACCGACCAGCTAGCAAAGCCTTATCAAAAACCTTATGACAAGGTAGCATGTTGGTAAACACCTTGCACCTAGATCTGTTTGGTCATGGGTTCGAGACACCAGGAGGGGAATTGGGGAACCAATAACTATTCTTCTTACAAAAAAAAAAAAAAAAAAAAAAAAAAAAAACTAGCAAAACCTTATCAAAACCTTATCAAACTTCAGAAGTCCAAATATATAATTTATAATTTCGGCACAACTTTCTTAATCATATCCAGAAGAAACTGATCCTTGCAAGTGATTAATTAACATGAATGAAGTAGCTTCATCGGCTGAGAATCCCCTTTTGTTCATTTCCTCTAAGAATGGCATTGCCTTGTCAAGTTCTTTCTTCTTCAACAAGCAATGGATAATGACGTTGTATGTCACGCTATTCGGTACACAACCGCTTCTCTCCATTTTTATAAGCAAATCTTTTGCCTCGTCGACAAATCCATCCTGACAAAGTGAATCGATAACAACTGTATAAGCTTGACAGTTTGGTTGCAAACCTTGGACGGAAGTTCTTTTAAAAGCTTTTTTGCCTCTTCAAGTTTCCCATCGTTGCACAAACCATTAATCAAGATACCGTATGTGACTATATTAGGAATTAATCCTTTGTCTTCCATCACCCGTAGAAACGAAAATGCTTCGGCAATCTGATGAGTTTTGCACAAACTATCCAACAAAATATTGCAAGTATGTAAATCTGGACGTACGTGCCGAGCTTCCATATAGTTGAATAGTTTCCATCCATCGGCAATTCTGCCTTCACTAAATAATCCATGTATCATGGTATTATAAGTAACTGTCGTGTGTTCTAAGCCTTTCGAAGAAACTTCGAGGAAAAGACGCCAAGCTTCATCAACTTTACCCTTCTTGCAGTATCCGTTGATTAAAGTGCCGTAGCTCATAATACATGGCTTAAGGCAGAATCAAATACTTGTTTCGCCTTTTCCATTTTCCCTTGCAAACAATACCCATCCATCAACGCATTGTACGTGAAAATATCAGGACGAATATTTTGTTGCTTCATAATTTTCAAAACATCCTCAGCCTCTTTAATATTTCCTTCCTTGCAAAATGCGTCCACCAATACAGTAAAAGTAACAACATCTAACGGAATCTTGTGATTCACCATTTCATTCAGTAAGTCTTTGACCTCTTTCCATCTACCAAAATCGCACAAGCCCTGAATCATGGAGTTATATGTGACAACGTCAGGTGAAATGCCCTTATCAACCATTCTAGACTTGAGCTCGAGTGCATTATCCACCATTTCAGTCTTGCATAAGCCATTAATTACCGCATTATAAGCCTTAACATTGGGTTTATAAATAGTCTTTTCCAATAAGAAAAGCAAATCATGGGCAGCAAGAACATGTCCAGTTTTGCAGAGCCCATCTATCACAGTAAGAATCGTAACTTCGTTAGGCTCGCAAATTTTCGAAGTCAAAAGCTTCTTGAACAATTTCTCCGCCTCGGCCACCTTACCATTTAAAAAGAGCCCTTTTAGGAGAGCGGTGAATGTCGTAACATCTGGCTCGTAACCGTGTTTAAAGAAGACGCCGAAGATAGCAAAACCAACGTCTACACGTTTCAAAAGGCAACAACAATTAATCAAGATGGTCATTGTGTACTCATTTACAGGGGCACCCAGTTCACGCATTTCGTCGAACAGTTTGAGGGCAACCGAGTATTGTTTCAAATTGACAATAACTTTCAATTGTTTGGTGAATTCAAAAATGGGGGGCTGCGGCCGCATTCTCACCATTTTGCGAAACAAGAAAATAGCTTCATCTACTTCATTTGCACAGCTCAAATCTCTTCGGAGGTTAGGTGAAAAAAGTCTATCTTTGTGGCGCACGCTATGAAAATTTAGCAGAAATTGCTCTACGAATAGGAGGCGCTATTGCAGAAATTCTCATCTTCTTAAATCGATTTTTGTGAAGAAAATTCTACTGCAGTGCAAAATGAAGTTGCACAAAGGTGCAGTCTGTTCTTTAATGGTTATAAATTATAATTGACTAATTACATCTAGACCCCTTCAAAATAGTATAATTACAAATAATTTTCATTGACTCTAAATTTTGCAACTATCAATATGCATTACCTTCCCTCTAAGTTTGTTTTAATAAAAAGGGTTTATTGCAATTAGTACCCGTTTCTGTATTATTTATGATTCAAATTTTGTTAGCACACAAGTACAACCCCTGACCGGGAGTTAGAGGGGTACTAACTGCAAAAAAAAAAAACTAAATCACGGGGTGTTTTCCTTATTTTATGTTTTTATTTAATTATTTCAGTACTTGATTTGTCAGCAGTTTGTTATAAGGTGCTGTGAAGGAATGAGAAAGGCATGATCAATTTTCAGAATTTTATCTCTCTCTCTCTCGTCTCCTTCTCTCTATCCTTCTACTCTTCTTATTCCCAAATTCTCATAAACCCTAGTAATATCCAATCTAAAAATACAAAAATATATCGGAATTTTACATTTTACTAATAAAATAACACGGGATAGTTTTTTAGCAATTGGATGTAACACCAGAGTACTAATTGCATTCAACTCCTAATAAAAAACCCAAAGGAAAACATAATAAGGGTAAAAGATAGCTTGATGGAAAAAAATAAAAAACAGTAGGACATAAAACAAATTTGGTTAAGCTACTACCAACACAGTAAAGGGGGAGTGTTAACCACAAATTTTTCGAGTCTGCAAAATATAATAAAAATACAAGACAAGAAAATAGGGAACAAATAATTTATTAATCAAAACGATGCGGATTACAATCTCAGTAATTCCCCTGATTCTTCTCTCCTATTCTAATTTTGATTCAAGGGCTTAAAAGCTTGTTCTTGAATCGAAGCTATGATTTCCTATCACGAACACCTCGAATTTAAATATGTTATGAATTCGAGGAATTGAACATATGATTTCCTATCACGAACCTCTCGAATTCAAATATGTTATGAATTCGAGGCGGAGGCTCGAGACGTGAGCTTGAGAGCTCGATATGTGTCTGTGTGAGTCTGTTTTTTTAGATGCACCAAAGATCTTCTTTTATAGGCACAAGCTAGGGTTAGGGTTTCTCGACTTGCACAGTGGGCCGGACATTGTAAAGCCCAAATATGTTATGGACTTTAATTTGAGACCTAAATTAATAACCGATTTATCTTGGTTATTAATTAGTAATTTATCTCAAATTTTCGATATCTACAGGGAGAACTATTATGAGCACAAACACTTCGCACATTTTCTTGATGTCAAGAGTTTTTATGATCCAACAAGGCAAGCCCATTACTTAACCCAAGAAAACATCGCATTTTGGGAACACGTTGACTAATAGGTATTTCCGGTTTTTAGTTCTACATTTTATAATATATTGTTGATGTTTTAGTTATATGTTGCAATTGTTGATGACTACGACTAGGGTGGGGAGTGCTCACAGTTCGTCCAAGGGTTGGATCTACCGGAGCTGTTAACTCCGTGCAATTTCAGCTTGATTCGGGGGTTGAGCTTCAACTAACCAGGATTAAGACGGATTTTTCAAAATCCTATCAGGAAGGACAAAGCAGTGTATCCAGTTTTTCAAGGTTTGATACGCAATGTCACATATAAGGCATTAGATTTGTTGGATGATGAGCTCAGTAAACCAGTTGTACAAGATTCGGCTAGCTCTACCCACGTTCTTAGTGTTACCCATGGACTTCCGTGTGCTTACCAAATTGAGAGAAAAATCCAGGAACGTGATACATTCTGGGTGAAGATGTGTTGCACAAGTTGTGTACGGAGATAATAAAAGATGGAATCGAGTGAGAAATATGAATTTCAACTAATGCTTAGCCAACAAATGTTATCGGAGCTCCGATTTAGTTAACAAATGTTGAAGTCAACTAATGCTTAGCCACGCATAAGGTTGCGTCACATGGTTAGCTTAATGTGGTCCACGTCTCTCATATGGTTTGCAAGCTATCATACGAGAGTGTAGGTTTATCCAGTGCATCTATATGGTTGGCCGCGGTTTCTTTTTACCAAAAAAAAAAAAAACTAATGCTTAGCCAGCTAATCGAAGCTCCGACGATCCACCGCAAAAGCTAATGTGTAGTATGCTAATTGATCAGAGCTCCGACTACACTCGAGTTTCCGGAGAAGTTTTGGCCGGAAATAGTCAATTTCGTGATTGGTGCTCCAAATAATAGAGTTTGGGGGGCATCGTGCAACTTTTTTTTTTTAGTCTAGGGGGTAATGTGCGAAACACACCAAAGTTTGGGGTGCAAAATGCCATTAACCCTTTTAAATATTTTGTTAGGTACTAACAATATTAAATAACAATATAGCCCCCTATTTATACATCTTGTACTATATTAGCTCTCTTTTTTTTATTCTTTTTTTTTAGAAACTCTTTAATTGTACAATATTAAAACTCTTTTTTTTTTATTCAAATGTATCATATCAATTCCCAATATATCAATATTTTCTTTAATTGGCCATGTAGTGGGTGGTCTAGCGGTTGGAGTAAGAGAACAAGTGTAAATTAACCCAAGTTCAAATTTCTTGCCAACTGTTTTTAGGTCGATATAAAATAAAATAAAACAACTAATTAAAACAAGGGATACGTGGCAGCCAAATCAATTGAATATTATATGTAAGGTCAGTCAACTTAAAGAATAAATGGTAAATTATGAAAATTCCTTGAACTTAGGCTAAATTACGAAAACACCCCATCTATCCATAATAGTAAAAAGAGTTGTGAGTGTGTTATTTAAGAAGAATAAAAATTCCGTGTAAAGGTCCTCAAGGATATTTTTTGTTTTTAAAAAGTAGCATAAAGAAATGCCACGTCTACAGGGGTAGAATAGGCATTTTTCGAAAATAATCCCTCGACTCAAAAAGATTCCATGAAAAATCCCACCATAAGGGGCAGGTGTAAGACGAAAACAAACGTCGGAGAGTTTTAGTAATTACGAATATGTGGGGATGTTTTTTATAATTCAGGCTAAGTTCAGGGGGTTTTTTGTAATTTACCTAATAAAGAAACACAAACTCCACAAAAACTAAGATGATATTACAACAATTAGTCATGAGGGTAAAATCGGTATTTGCTGAGTGATAGTACATGAAATAAAAAAATCCGTCAAATTTCACACCGTAAAGGGGAACTTTGTATGACAACAACAACAAACATTAGGGGGGTTTCGGTAATTACAAACAACGTGGAGATTTTTTTTTCTTAAATCGACCTTAGTTCTCGCATATGATAAATCAATATGTAAAGCACAACTTCGACGTATCCAATTTCACTTTCATTTTTATTCCTTTGTTTTGTTTCGTGCGTAGAAATAAAAATGCACCGGTAGTCTACTTTTTGACTGTATGTTTCTCGGTTTTATTTTTCAATCATTACATAGATTTTATACATCTCTCAACATCGAGCACACGCACGAATTGCGTGGGACCCGGTTAGGGAGCAATTTGGAGCCGGTAGATCGATCAAACGCTTGGATTGCTCTCGATAAACGTATTGGTCGCGTCGAAAAGTGACCGTAAGTGGGCCAAACGAGCAATTTTCACCTCTAGTGTTGGGTCGATGGTGGCTGAACGAACTTCGCGTGCATATGCTGATCAAACAAAATATTTCAAGTATATAAATTAGGATGTATATGCCAAATTTCCATATCATTAACAAAGTTTGAATTTGTTATCAACTTCTGAAAATATTGACATTTTGTCAAAAGGGTTACTTCCGCCCCCTAAATTTAACATAGTGATTTAAGATTATGGATGTGTTGATATACACCCATAATATGGAAAATATATAGGGATAGGTCCACCCCTAAAATTCTTTCTTTCTAATAGACAAAAAGACTATGATGCCCCTTACATACAATTTTTGCCCTAACTGCATTAACATTTCCACCAAGTGCATATAGCATTTTCGTTTTATTTTTTAATAATTTTTTTATTAAAAATAATAAAATATACATTTTATTTTCTTAAAAATTTCTGATTTTTTTTCCCGAAAAGTTTACATACTATTTCGAATATGACTATAGTCAACTATAGTCATATCCTTTCTTCATATATCGTTTTTTTATATTTTCTACTTAAAATTGTATATTCTCAATTATATAATGTAGCTCAGTCATATTAAACAAATTTTAAAAAAAACTATTATTTATGAAATAATCAATCAACATTCACAAATAAACAAAAAAAAATCATAATTTGAATCTTGTTATTACAAGTCAACTTTCCACAATATGTATCCAAAATTCACATGTGTAAATTTTTCAACTGAAACAACCATCAACATCACTGTACATTAAAAAAAAGTTACATATCTTATATATAACTATACATAACTACATAGTTGATTCTCTCTAATTGGCCAGTTGTTACCCATCTCCTTCAACATAGAATTTTTTTGCTGCAACTAAATTCTACACCAGAAAACACCAAAAAACATACAGAGATCGAGAGGAGATAGAGGAATAGGGAGAAAGATACTTTAACCTCAGAATTTGACGGCGGTGGATGACTCAAAACGATTGATCAAATCACAATCACACAAAAATCTAAACAAATAAAAAAGTACCCAAAAAATTAATATACCCTTACTTTGGTCTAAGATCTCGCGGCGGTGGCAAAAACTCAACAACGGCTCCTATCTATTCTCTTCCCTGACTTTGGCCTCTAATCTCACGGCGACGGTGACAGAGGACTCCACAAATTCCGAGGAGCGGCACTAGACGGAGGGGGGGAGGCGCTTAAAG